AGGACAGAACTAATTTCATAAAAGGGAACCACAGTAACCAAAAATTGGGAAAAATGTAGAACAGTTTCTATTCCAAATTTCATGTTTTGCATTAAGCAGAAAAAAACCCACAGAACTGAAAATTTGCAGGAAGGATAAGACTTTCAAAGAAACATTTTTAAAAGTGTTAACTCAGATACTTGGCAGAACCATCCTTCAAGTAACATCCATATTCAATTGCAGCAATTATGGCAGCAATTTTGCCAATGTAGTCAAAAGGCTGCTTAATGTAAGAGTGCTCTTCTCAGTCTGCTAAACATGTCAATGTTACCCAACATCTACAGCTATTCAGTAGTATAACCAGACAGCACCCACTACCTCTCCATAAAGCCAGTTATTAAGTCTCTGAAAGCTAGACTTGACAGAACTAAGGAAAACTTCACTGTGAATGGGAAGAATCTGTGAATGGCAAGAAAATGAGAGGCACTAAAACAAACAAAAAGGCACTATTATACCAGAACTTTGTTTTCCAGAAACTTTGAGTGCAAGATAAAAAAAAAAGTCTTTAGATAAACACCACCAACTGGTGGGTCTCTTTGCTTCTGTCTCCTTTTGTCCCATCTTACTATGCAAGGCAGAGGCTGGAAAGATCTGAAGAGCTGCAGGTTGTCTCATGAAACTGTCTCAGTAAGCTCAAGTTGAAAAGTTTACACTGTAACTTTGATCTGCTGGAGACTATTAGCTTAGACATTAAAAAAACCCTTTTGACTCAGTTTAAAGCATGTCTCTGGGATGTAAATTTCACACAGATTTTGTAACACACACAGCACAAGATATAATCATATGACAGTATTCTACTGACCACTTTTATACCCTGAACCAAGAAGTCAACTACCGTGTCACGCTCATATTGCTTTCTCAGATTAGAACTCTTTGCTTAGTTATAACCCAATCAATCCATATGCCTTTAAAGAAATCCAACTTCCTCAAAATAAGCTGTTAGATAAATGGCACAGTTTCAAAAGCAAAGGAAAAATGAAAACAGTCATCTGGCTAATAACCAGGGAATGGTCATGAGCTGAGAGAAATCAGTGGAAACCAGGCTACCAGGGACAGAAAGTGATGGGCAAATATTCCTGCCTTTAAATTATTATAGCTACATTGCTACTCAATTGTGGGATGCAGTTTATTTTTCTTTCAGTATTTCACAGGTTTTTCAAAACAGCTCACAAATTATTTGTGTAACAGCTACTATTTTACAGGGGGAAAAAAAAATAAATTCTTTTCCCATAGTTAAAAGTTAACATTAGCAAAATCTAAAAAAAAAACAAAAACAAAACCTTTTAATCTGTAAAATAAAACCCATTCCTTTAACTCTATCAGTAAATAATAAACTGCTACTCTTGTCAGCCTCTGAACTTGCTTTGCCTACAACTAAGAAGCCTTCCAAAAGAGATGAAACCCACACCATATCAATACTACTTTCTAGCACAGTTGCACACCAAGTTTCCTTCAACAGTATCATCTCAATCCATTAAATAAACTAAAAGTGTTAGCAAACAAAGTATTTAATTACAATCCCTTCCTAACATTCTGTTGTTGCATTTTGCAAACTTCTAACATTTTTGAGTACTTACGATAGAAGTCGGTCAAGTTTTGGTCCATTACGCCCCTGAGGGACAACAGGGGGCTTGTATACCTTCATTGTTCTTACAATCTATATGCTTTCTCTGTTTCTGGTGTTCCTGCTCTCTTTATTTATGAAGCTGTGATGATTTTGAAGTTATTTATAAACATTAACTCATTAAATTCCCAAGTGTCAAGTTAGATACCAACTCAGTGACTCATATTCATGACAATATTTTTATCATGGCTAGAAGAGAAGGTAAATTTACATGCACAAGTAGCACACAGAGGCATGCCATAAACTAATCTTATATTTTAAAATAGTGTTTGACATTAAGTAACTCTGAATTTATCAACAAATACGTATGCCGACTGAAGTTGGCTCATGATCAAACCATCCGTGAATTTATAAACATTGTCTGACTAGCACTCTGACAAAAGAACCCATATAACAAAATACCCCTTTGGTTTTGAAGGTCAGAAATGGAAGCTGAAATGTTTTAAAGCTTGTTATTGTTATTACTGTACTTAAATTAATACAAATACATGAAAATTACAGTAATCTTCAAGCACTCCCTGACAGGGAAAGCACATACCATGTGTTAACATTTCTTAAAAGATAGTTACAAAGTTATCAATTCACCAGACAAAATTATTCCACTGACCACCTAACATGCCATCTTGTCTTCATAAAAACCACAGTGGTTTGATTTCATGTCCTGTCCTGGCAGCTTTACAGATTGTGATCACTGCACAGTAAATAATGCAAATATTCAAGTAACAAGTTTTGCAGCAAAATTACTACTACTTTAGCACTTTCACTCAAAATGTAAGGCAGAAAAATCCTCTCTAAAATGGAGGGGGGGAAAAAAAAAATAAATCTTTGAACCAACTTTTCTTTGCAACTATCTAATTTTTTTCTTCAGTTCCCAATTTCCCAAAGATTCTTGAACACTGGTTACAAAAGTGAACTTAAAGACAACTGTTATCAAGCCACATTTTTAACAAAATCCCCACCCAACAAGACACACATTTCACAAGCAATAGGCTTAGTGAAGCTTGCCTTTCTACTGAGCCATCACAAACCCCATGTTCCCTCCTACACAGAAACATTTATTTCCTTCTCTTGCATTCCCTGTAGTCTTACTATCCCCACAGAATTTAATTCTGCCCACATTGCCTTTACCCTTTACTGCAACTGGAAATGTCACTTGCAGATATATTAAAAGTAATATATACCTAAACCTTTTCTTCCAAACTATTTATTGCTCTCTATATTACAGTAGTAAGACTATTGTTATTACAGTATGAAAGCTGAAAGATAGTTACTACAGAAGAAAAGTTCCATCCTAGAGTTAATTGAACTGTATAATAACCATGCAGTTACAGTACTAAAGAGACCAGAGAAGCATTTCTGAAATATTTAAACAAAATTACACATTCTCCTTAGGCTTAATGACACAATGGCAACAGTCTTTTCATAGACAATCTGGCTAGCAACATGAGTAAACACTCATTCCAGTTGTCTCGCCATTTTTAGGGGAAAACCAAATCAAAACCAGGACCACACTTCAAAGAGGATATTATATTATATGAAAACAAGTAAAGCACACTGATCCAATGAGAAAGTGAAGCTTTAAGAAAACCATCTGATAACATGTCCTTTACGCACAAAAAATGTTGAGACATGCAGAACTCTTCACATGGGGCAGAACTTTTTCATGAAGAGACTTCTACCTACAATGCTTCTCTGAAAAGTATTTCAGCGTCATAAATTTCAATTAATGCAGCCCTCTAAAGGAACAGATGGGCAGTAAAAATATTAAAAGCCACTACTGTAGAACAGAAAAAAAAATCAAAATAAAAAGCTTTTAAAAAGTCTGTCAAGAGAAGTGACATAAAAGACCTTTATCGTGACAGCAGACTTCCATGTAAATACATCAAACAGGCAGATTTGTAATGAACTTCTTGCTCTTTGTTTTTAAACAAGAGGACTTTCAGATAAAGCAACCCTTGCTCAGATTCAAGAACACACTGCAGAAGAGAGACAGAAAAGTATGACCAATTTTGATGCCAAAATTTTGTTCAACACATACAGCCAGTTTACCAAATCTAGAATACAAATTATTCACAAATTAGCAACCTGGTTCTGCTCACCTTTGCATAAACAAACTAAATGCAAAATACCAAAATAGAAAGAAACTTCAGTGCCAATTAGATCCAACATGTTAAAATATTTTTCCAGTTACCACTGAAAGCTATTAAATGCATTTAAACCATTAATCTGGACCACCTTCTATTTATTCAAGGATCCTGTTCCCTGCATCTGTACTGCATGTGACCTAAATTGCTCCCAACATCCCTTCTGGAAGGGAACAGCTAATCTCCTGGGAGTATTTTGATGGTAAAATAATCCAGGATTGCACCACAGGCAGTATGCTTGAGACAGCTCAAGGTCTTGCTGTTTTCACTTAACCCAGTCTGACATCACTACCCCAGAAGACTTAGCCATTTCATATACCCCTACCCCAAACACTCAGCCTACAGCACTAACCCATATTTGCACGCAACAAAAGCAGGATTGTGGCAGTTAGAAAGTTTATTCACAGAACATGGGCACATTATCGAAATGTAGCAATTGCTGAAAGGAACCAAAAAAACAGATGTTGAAAATGCTTCAAGTCTGGAAAATATCCCATATGGCGTGGGACAGGGTACAGTGGCTTCAGACTGAAGGGAACAGCTTACCTAGGAGGAGTGCCAACTGGTCAGAGGAACATGGACTACTTGAGGGCAGCTCAGAAAAAAACAGTATTGCTACAGCTGAAACAAACTACTTAAGGTTCCATACATTTATACAAGGAAAGTAGAAAATTATTAGTTCTCTCACAAAGAGACTTTCTAGTATAATGGCAAACAAGCTTTGCAATACAATGTTTTGATCTAGTGCATCCACGCTCAGAAAAAAAAAAAACTGTCATTCTTCATGATGATTTAATTCTCTATTTCTAAAGGTTAAAACTTCCTTCCTTGTTTGCTGCTTTCTTCTTTGTAAGTGTGTGTCAAAAACTGAAGACAAAACAGACACTGGAAAATTAATTAGTCTTGTTGAAATGACAGCAGTGAAATCTTCCAAGGCTTCCCATCTGATCTCCAACTCTTTTGTGACAGGCCAATAGCAATTGCATTGTCTGAATGGGTGGAGATCACAAACAAGGGATCTAGCTACCATCAAAGTTTTTACACAGGGAAGTGGCTCTACTCAAATGCACGCACACAAACACTGCTCTAATGCAAGAGAGTAATTTTAAGTCCTTGACATTTAATTTCTCACCCTATTAATGAGGAGTTACTATGTTCTTTAATTTAACAGCTGGTCATTTATAGCACTGTACCTTCTCTGGATTTCCAATTCTTCTTGTGATGGACCGTTTTGTACTTGAGAGGGAAGCTGTGAGTTTTGTCGAGGCAATGTAGGACCTAAAAGTGAAGGCAGACTGTAAATTAATGATTTGAACTCCTACTATGCAAAAAAGCACAAAATCAAGAAAAAGGGCCAGCCATCACATGACATTATATCAAGTGTTTACTTCTGCTTTTTAAGCCAAACAAGCTCAACAACAAAATACAGCAAATAAAAACTGCAACAAATGTTACCTTACTTATTTACAGAATGGGTTTATTGCACATGGATGAAAAGGTTTCATGGAAATGCAAAATAAACTTCATGTATGATAGAACTTGACAAAAGCTTTGAAAAGCACTCCAAGTCTAGATTTTCTGAAAACAATGAACAAATACTCTTAGAAGAACAGAAAAGGCTCAAAAAATTAAACCACTCACCTAAATAGAACACTGGAAAAGGGGAAAAAAAGCGCAAAAAACAAACAAGAACAGGAAAAAAACATCAGAAGTTTATCATCATATCAAGAGAAGGAAGATAAAAGTACATTTCTACAGGTCACACCAAAATTTTCTCAGACTTTAGCTCATCAACTTGGATCAAAGACCTTCCTTTTTGGCTAGATAAGTATTGTCTCAAAAGGAACAGAGGCATATAACAAATGTACAAACTGTGCATTCTGCTAAGCACAAGAAACGCAGAAGAGAAGGACATGCAAATTCATCTCCAGCTTTTACTGATGGGCAATTATACATCTTTCAAATAACTGTATGTGCTAGATCCTTCTAAAAACAATGAGGCATCTCCATTATCTTCACAAATGTGTTTACAGCACAAAATTATCTAAAAAGAATTAACAGGAGTGAAAGGTGAGGAACTGCAGGATGGATCACGAATGCATTGCTTCTGCAAAAATGGGCAGTAAACCATAAAATTATTTAGACTATAGCTGCATTTAAGATTACGGAATTTATAAGCAAGCAGAATTAAAACAATAAAAATGTATCAAGTTCTGAAAAGGTCCAAAAGCAAAACAGTAATTTCTTGCTGAGATTCCACCAAACTAGTTAAGAGTGATGAAGTTGTAATGAGAGCTCACTCATCTCAAGTATCAAAAGTAAAATTTGTTTGCCATCTGAACTTACAAAAGTCATCCAAAAACATGAAGAAACCACACGTGATATACTGAGACATCAAGGACAGGTGATCTGCCTCAGACTCAGCAAGTGTATACCCAGTCTAAAGGCTATACAAAAAGGTTCATTTAGTCAAAGCAGCATAATTTTTTTCCACTGTAGTCATAAAGACAACGAATCCTGAAAATTATAAGAGTGCATACTACCCACTGTACCCTACAGCTGAAAACGAATGTAATAACTTAATTCTAGAAGATAAAAGCAGTAAGTTAACTACAGAGATTGTGTCTTCCTTATTTATTCTTTCAGCAAACATCAGGTCCTTACACCTAAGCACGTGATGTTGCCCTGGCTGTACTATTTTTGCTCAGAGTATCTCCAAGAGATACCCACAAATACTAATCTGTATTCTTGTACTGCAAAAGATTTAACTGCAATGTTAATAATTATCAGTATGTAGAAATATCTGTCATATTGCTCATCTGGAAAACTTTTCTGCTTTAAAACTTCCAAAGTCACATCATCTTCTGTTGTCTCCCCTGCATGACAGGTGGAAGGCTTATATGCCCATTAAGCCATGACTGCAGCTCCCAAGCAGCCAAGCTATTTGCTGCCTGCACCGTGTTGCAGCCTTTCATGGACTTTTAGAAGTAGATACAATCCAGCAGCAGCTGTCTTGCTGCTTCAAGGTGCTATGTACCACTACCACTTGTCACATTGAATATATTCCCTTAATCTATCCCCTCAGATATATTCCTCTCAGATCTATCACTTCTCGGGAACAAACATGCTCACCTAAAAAATTAGCAACAAAGAACAAAAATAAAAGAAATGGTCATGCTATGGCCATTTATCACCTAGAGCTATTTTGTACTTGAAAATACAGTAGAAATAAAAGCTTAAAACTTCTGCCCATTTAAAGTTTATGAGTATTTAACAGGTTTTTTTTAACAAGGTATTATCATGCTGCACCAGCTGAGTGTGGATGACCGGTCTACAACCTTTCTGTCAGTGCCTCCTCAACTCTCTTCCGCTAGCCACCACTGGAAACCAAACATCTAGCTTCACTTGCACTGGCTATTCCAACCTAGCTTCAAACTTCATTCTAGAGCACTGTCTGTCAAAATCATGTTGTCTGTCAATTCTGCAGAATGCAACCATCAGCAAGCCAAGCTAGTGCAACCCAGCCAACCTACTCCAGCAAGTTGTGTGCTGCTTTCATAGATATACGTGCTAGAAAGCCAAATACAATCGCCTGCTAACTATTAACATGGTTGTTCTAGTATTTCTCACATGTTTTTGCCATAAGGAAATGTGACCTGAGTATATCAAAGGCTTTCAAGAAAGAAAAGTTCAGCTATCAAGACATTTGGCCAGTTCTCTGATAAATGCTTCTCTGCAAGCATAGACTCTTAACAGCCACCATGCTAACAAACATTAGCAAGTTAAAGGTACATACCAGGTGGAAAACTACTTTTCAATCTATGAGATTTATTACAGCAAGTGAAGACCACTACTTCATTGCTAAAATACATCTGTCTGGATAGTGGGACAGATGGAATAGCGAAAAAGGAGGAGCTTGCTAATAAAAAGCACTCTCAGAGGCTTTTGAACACTTCAAGATATTCCAGAAACATCAACCCCCAAGAGAAATATTCACAGATATTGCCTGGAGAAGAAAGTCTGATCCTTCTCCAGAATCACTTGATCTTCAGAGATCTGTACAAGCCAAGTAAGAGATGAGACCGGATGGTCTACTCACTCTGAGTTTTAAGTAAAACCCAATTTTTTTATTTTTCTAAAGAAAGCAACAGCTGGTCCTCTCTGCAGCACACTGACAGACAGAGGATATAATTTCACACTAATTTGTTCAGCAGCTATTCCAGTTTCCATGCTTTCTGTTATTTTCACCTTTGCATCACCCTTCCTCTATGACAGTTCAGGCCACTGTGTAGCTGGAGACAGACGGGAAATCCAACGCATTAAAAAACCCAGAGGGAAAAGCCTGAAAGTAGTGTTTACACCAGCTAGATCAGAACCAGTTTTGGTTTTTCACACAGGTTTTACACTGCATAGCACAGAGAATTGTATCAGACTGCTGGGGGCTGCTTGAACTGAATTAAGCATCCCCAACATCACCTCTTTAAACCACAACCAAAGCTGCAGTTTATCAAACTCCTTAGCTTCATTTTCACCTCCATTTGACTTCTTACCTCCATCTCCATTCAAGAGGTGAATTAATTCCAGTTGCACAACCCTATGAAAGTATAATTAGCAAGCTGGAGATTAAAAGACATGGTTTCTCCTCCCTCAATGTCTCTCAGTTCATCGCTTCCTTCAATCTTTCATTTACATTGTCTGCTTTGGAGTTCCACACCAAACTCTCCACCCCACTTCTTTTAAAGTCAGTAGTGTTGACACAGCACCTGGCTGACACTGAAGACATCACATTCCTATGAGGCAATAGCCCTAAAAATGTCCAAGTACCTACTGTTCAAGATCAGAACAATAGATGTACTACAGGTTACACAATGAACCACAACATGCATTTTCATTTGGCTGGACAGGCTTGCCTGGTAACGCAAGGGTAGGTGAAGTATTTTTTTGGGGGCCCCTGGCAGTCAGATCACATGAAGCCTTCCTCAGAACTCCACGTGCCTTACGGTTCAAGAGAGCCAAAACACACAGAACACCCACTCCTGCTGTTACTGTACTGTTCAGAGTACAGCATTACAAAGCAAAATCCAAATTTCAAAAAATCCAGTACCTTTAAAAAAAAAAAAATTGGTCAGCTATCACACATGAGAATTTTAGTTTGAGAAGATGATCTAAATTTTTTCACCCAGAGAAACAGTGTATATAAACAACTCAGTAATTAAGAATTCCCACTGTTTCATTTCTCAATATGTTAGCATCAAAACTAAGCAACATTCCAATTATACAGTCTGCCATTCAAATCAAAGTATGACTGACTTTTCAGATGAAGAATGGACTGAAACCAGACAGTAATTTATATATGCATATACTATAAAGAGGAGTGTGCTGACTTATTATAATCTTTAGAAAAGAGTTTCATTAAGGACAGTTTGAGCACACCTACTAAGCAAAGCACATACCTTAGGCAAGAGTTCATAAACCACAGCAAAAAGATGTATTTCTGTTACAGAATATAAGAACTTCAGAAAGGAAAAAAATAACAAAATAAAACATGTTTTACTAAATGCTTAAAGATTTTCTGAATGAATGGAAAGCAGGCTTTTTCAGAGATCTCTGCTAGGAAGTAATAAGAAAAATTATGGTAAAGTAAGCTCTTTCACTTGTCTCTAGATCCTTCTCCTGTTACATTTTCTATAGTGAAAGTGAAGTTCCATTTCCTTTCACAGCCACTTTTACCCGATCAACATAACAAAAGAGGATGAGAATAACAAAAATATTCATTAAAATATATTTGAATTTAAGTAGAGACAAGCCTACTATCAACGCCAGCAGAATCTCCTATCCATGCCAGCAGAGGCTTGGAAACAGTGCTTGATAACCTGAGTGCTAGGCTTGGCTCAGCACTAGCTTGCTGGGTGACCCCAGGTAGGTTTGTGCTTCCCCTGGGCCCTCCTTTTATACAGAGGGAGGCAGAGACAAAGCTTCAGTAGTACAGCAATATGGTTGTTTAACAAAGCTACAATATCACAATCCTAAAAAAGCAAGTAGCCAAAGTTAAATATATCAATGCCATCTACTGCAGGATATTTATTATTTCCTTCCCCACCCAAATTTTTTCAAACAGCAATTTTATAGATAACGACTATCACTATTTGTGTATAATACTACAGAAATGAGCCTAACAAAGCTGTATTTCCACAGTTATATTCATGATTTTATGACAATACCCTGTTCCCAAAAGGCAGCAGACTTAATATAGCCACAACTCGTACTGGTAATATCTTTAAGACAACAATATGAACCCTGAAGAGAAAAATATATTATCCACAAAGTTAATGTACTCCTATGTATGTTTGCCATGCTGCTAAGACCAACTACCAAATTTGAATAAAATTATTTGGGTTACCCACCCAAACCTCAATGCTTTCACTTGACACAACACTAATTCTGAAGAACCAGACAAACCAACTACACAGGTAACCTTTAAAAGTGAGTATAACCAAAAACTTAGCAACTCTGCCTTCACTTCCAAATACCACAAGTAACATTGGTGATGCTTTCAATTTTATGTGCAATGAAAATGGAAGTATTTTGTCCAATGGAACAGTTAAAACCTTCCTTTAGGTCAATATTTTGTCATAAATCAGGATTAGTTAATC